GAAGGAGGTCTTGTGAGGAGCGGAGTGTGCGTGCTCGGCGGTACTTGGATATTAGGTCAGTGATGTAGTTCGGGGCAGTATGGTGGACAGCTTTGTACGTTAGCGTTAGGATTTTGAATTTGATCCGTTGCGCAATCGGAAGCCAGTGGAGGGATTGGCAGAGGGGGGTGGCGGAGACGGAGCGGTTGGAAAGGTGAATGAGTCTGGCAGCCGTATTCAGGATCGACTGAAGCGGGGATAGCCAGCGGCGAGGCAGGCCAGTGAGGAGGGAGTTGCAGTAGTCGAGTCGTGATATGATGAGGGAGTGGATGAGCTGTTTAGTGGTTTCTGGAGTTAGGAACGTGCGTATTTTGGCAATGTTGCGGAGGTGGATTCTGCACGAGTTTGTTAAAGATTGGACTTGGGGCTGGAAGGATAGGTTGGAGTCCAGAATGATACCAAGTACTCTGGCCTGCGGGGCGGGTTTGATGGTAGCGTTGTTGGATGTGATAGAGAAGTCAATGGGGGGTGGTGTCCGGGCTGGGGGGAAGACAAGAAACTCAGTTTTGGAGAGGTTCAGTTTAAGGAAGTGGAGCGACATCCAGTCTGATATGTCGCTCAGCAGGTACAGTTGCAAGAAAAAGTATGTGAACCCCTTGGGATTACGTGGAGTTTTGCATGAATTGGGCATAAAATGTGCTCTGAACGTCATCTAAGTCACAACAATAGAAGAACACAGTCTGCTGAACATAATACTACACAAACATTAGATGTTGCCATGGTTTAATTGCACATAACATGTAAACATTCACAGTGCAGGGAGGAAAAAGTATGTGAACCTTTGGACTTAATAACTGGTTGACCCTCCTTTGGCAGCAATAACCTCAACCAAACGTTTCCTGTAGTTGCAGATCAGACCTGCACAACGATCTGGAGTCATTTTGGACCACTCCTCTTCACAAAACTGTTTCAGTGTAGCAATACTCTTGGGATGTCTGGTGTGAATCGCTCTCTTAAGGTCATGCCACAGCATTTCAATTGGGTTGAGGTCAGGACTCTGACTGGGCCACTCCAGAAGGCGTATTCTGTGCTGTTGCAGCCATTGTTTTGTTGAATGACTTGTATGCTTTGGGTTATTGTCCTGTTGCATCACCCATCCTCTGTGGAGCTTCAGTTGGCGGACAGATGGTCGTACGTTTTCCTGCAAAATGTCTTGATAAACTCTGGAATTCATTTTCCCATCAATGACAACAATCCGTCCAGGCCCTGAGGCAGCAAAGCAGCCCCAAACCATGATGCTCCCTCCGCCATGTTTCACAGTGGGGATGAGGTTTTGATGTTGGTGTGCTGTGCCTTTTTTTCTCCACACATAGTGTTGTGTGTTCTTCCCAAACAACTCAATCTTGGTTTCATCTGTCCACAGTATATTTTGGCAGTAGTGCTGTGAAACATCCAGGTGCTCTTTTCCAAACTTCAAACGTGCTGCAATCTTCTTTTTGGACAGCAATGGCTTCCTCCGTGGTGTCCTCCCATGTACTCCATTCTTGTTTAATGTTTTCCTTATTGTAGATGTGTCAACAGAAATGTTAGCATGTGCCAGAGATTTCTGTAGGTCTTTAGCTGACACTCTGGATTTCTCTTTACCTCATGCAGCATTCTGCGCTGTGCTCTTGCAGTCATTTTTACAGGACGACCACGCCTAGGGAGAGTAGCAACAGTGCTAAACTTTCTCCATTTGTAGACAGTCTGTCTTACCGTGGACACATGAACATCAAGGCTTTTGGAGATACTTTTGTAACCCTTTCCAGCTTCATGCAAGTCAACAATTCTTGATCGTAGGTCTTCTGAGAGCTCTTTTCTGCGAGGCATGGTTCACATCAGACAGTGCTTCTTGAAACCAGTAAACCCAAAACAGTGTGTGTGTTTTTTAAGGGCAGGACAGCTGTCAGCAACACATCCAATATCATCACACTGATTGGAGTCAAGGTTGGCTCACTCCTGGCTCCAATTAGCTCTGGGAGAAGTCATTAACCTAGGGCCTCACATACTTTTTCCTCCCTGCACTATGAATGTTTACATGTTATGTGCAATTAGGCCATGGCAACATCTAATGTTTGTGTAGTATTATGTTCAGCAGACTGTGTTCTTCTATTGTTGTGACTTAGATGACGTTCAGAGCACATTTTATGCCCAATTCATGCAAAACTCCACGTAATCCCAAGGGGTTCACATACTTTTTCTTGCAACTGTATGTGATTCGGGTGGAGACCGAGGGGGTGAGGTGGGGGGTTGAGAGATAGATTTGTGTGTCGTCGGCATAGAGGTGGTAGTTGAAGCCGTGAGAGTGTATGAGTTGGCCAAGGGAGGAGGTGTAGATGGAGAAGAGAAGGGGCCCGAGGACAGAGCCTTGAGGGACCCCAACAGAGAGGGGAGTGAGAGGGAGGTGGTAGCATTATAGGTAACGCTGAAAGAGCGTTGTGACAGGTAGGATGAGAGCCAGGAGAGAGCGGAATCTCTGAGGCCGAGGGAGTGTAGTTTTCTGAGGAGGAGGGGGTGGTCGACTGTGTCGAAGGCCGCAGAGAGGTCAAGGAGTAGGAGCACTGAATAGTGGCCATTAGCTTTGGTGGTTGGCAGGTCGTTGGAGAGTTTGAGTAAGGCAGTTTCGGTGGAGTGTAGGGGACGGAAGCCGGACTGTAGGGGATCGAGATGTAGCTAGGGGCAGTGTTGTGGATGGCTTTGCATGTTGTTGTTTGTATTTTGAATTTTATGCATTGGGTTAGTGGAAGCCAGTGAAAGGATTGGCAGAGAGGGGCATCAGTCACTGATCGGTTGGTAAGGTGTATGAGTCTAGCAGCAGCATTCATAACAGACTGAAAGGAAGAGAACCTGTGTAACAGTAGACCAGTGAGGAGGGAGTTGCAGTGATCTCCTTCAAAATCAAGAATATTCATATCTACTATCTCTACACTCTCCTTTAAATAAATCAAAATTGTGTAACATGAGGGTTCTAATCAATAATCTGTTCAATGCATGCCAAATTAGGCAATTTATATGAAATCTAAAAAATTTTGTACAATGAGATCATAATTGGCTGAAGTATTATTTCATGTAATACATTCAAGAGAATACATAAAAGTCTATCTAAACCTGAAAAAACAAAAATGTAATATACTGCAGCTTATGATCATTAGATGGGGCAGCTATATTGTTTTCTACTTTGTTTTTAAATGTTTATAGTCCACAAGCACAGAAAATATCTTGCCCGGAATGCAGTGTCTTTGTCACTTCCTGTAAGCTGAAAAGACAGCAACGAATAGCTATCTTTCTTTTGTAAACTACTGTATCATTCACCCCTTAAAGAACCCACTGATGAGTCCCTAGATTCTTTTCCCAAGCTGGTATAGTATCAGTCAGGCACACAGCAGAACGGTCAATCTTGTGGCTCAATGATCAGTCTAGGGGTATATTTTGATGCTTTATTACAAATTCAATTTGGTTAGGGTGCAAGGAGCTGTGGGATATTCCAGGAACACAGTGCAATAATTGGACGACACTCTTTGCTTTGTCTAGAAGTCTTAGCATAGTCTAGGGAAATGAGCAGCACTGGGGCCCCAAAAAAAGAGGAATGTCCCCGTCCAAGATAACACTGGCATTGATGCACAAAAGGATGATAGCAGCAAACAATCACTAGTATCCTACACTCAGGTCTGTACTCACAATGTCCCTGAGTACTTCAATGCCTCCCTCCAATATCAGCAAGACATTTCTCCCGTGAACTCCCAGACCAGATCCTCAGTGAAAATCCCTCAATCATTTCCAGCAAGGTCCAGTAGAACAGCCCCCCAGCTCTAATGCAGCTGGGATCTCAGCGAACAGGGCCCCAGCTTTAATACAGCTGGGACCTTAATGAGCACTAGAACAGCCCCCCAGCTCTGCCTAAGCTGGGACCTTGATGAGCACTTCTGAAACTTCAGCTGTACTGCCCAGAAGGGCAGCAGCCCTTCAGGCTGGGAACATCTCCTCCTAGACAAAACCCTGCTGCTCCAGGCTCAAGTCTATTTATGCTCGGGGTGGAGCCTGAACATGGCGGCATGAGAGAGTTTAGTGTAAAGCACTCCTCGCTCCCTTCCCCGACAAACCTCCCTATGGTGTCCCTACCCAATAACTAGCTGCACTGGAGCAGCACTGGAGAGCGAGTGGAGTCTTACCCGGCTGGAGAGGGGTTTTGGAGATGACGTGGTGGCAGGTCCGGGAGAGAGACGTCTGGAGTTCCTTCTCTCCTCGTGTCTCTCGTGGTAGCTCCGGAGGAGAAGCAGGGTTGCCCAGGAGACGAGCGTAGCGCGTTATAGCGGCGCTGACACGTGGGCAGCTGCGGAGGAGCTCTGGGACCAGGAGAAACAGTCAGCTTCCAGGCGTCCAGGGAAGCCTAGTGAGCGGTGTAAGGCGGTGCAAAGTGGAACGCCGATGTACCTCTTCCATGTCACCTCCATGCCACCTCCACACCATCCCCTCCACACTAGTCCCAACCATCTCCCAACTAGCAAATTAACACTAACTACCATACCATCTATAATTACCATACCTCCTCCAATCTTTTGAAAGCAAGATAAAAGTATAAAGGTTTAAAGAGACCCAAAGGAATCCCCCAAAGAGAGACGGTCTGGATAAAAGCGCACAGATGTGTCCCAAAGGAAATAAGTGAATGGTATATGTCAACTATGATTGGTGGGGAAAAAACTCACTGCTGCCATGGTAAAAACACATCGGTTTGTGGGAGGTATGAACAGGAGCCAGGCGCTGTGTAGTTTTGTGATAAAAGTAATACACCTTGTATGGAGGTGTGCCTTTAATAAGTCATATGGTAAAACAATAATAAATAACCAGCCTGTGGCTTTAGGAAGCCAGGTTCCAAGATGGACGGCCCGTCCGCTCAGAGGGAAGCAGTGGAGTAGAATGCCTGTCAGTGCAGGGACCACGTTTACCCGACGTCCCAGCGTCCTGGATGACGTCACCACGATGTGGAGAGACGGAGGGGGGGAACTCTTGCTGGAGCCGCAGCTTTAGAAGGAAGAGGCCGGTTGCTGGGACAACATGTTTCGCGCGCATGCGCGTCCCAGCAACCGGCCTCTTCCTTCTAAAGCTGCGGCTCCAGCAAGAGTTCCCCCCCCTCCGTCTCTCCACATCGTGGTGACGTCATCCAGGACGCTGGGACGTCGGGTAAACGTGGTCCCTGCACTGACAGGCATTCTACTCCACTGCTTCCCTCTGAGCGGACGGGCCGTCCATCTTGGAACCTGGCTTAGTAAAGCCACAGGCTGGTTATTTATTATTGTTTTACCATATGACTTATTAAAGGCACACCTCCATACAAGGTGTATTACTTTTATCACAAAACTACACAGCGCCTGGCTCCTGTTCATACCGCCCAAAGAGAGACAACTACAGGAGAGGACTGCATACTGACAGATATCCCATCGAGGAGGGTGAGTGATAACTGCGGGTGTACTGCAGGGCTCCCTATATACTCTTTATATACTCTTCATATTCTGGACTTATGTACTGGATTTTTCTTTTCTGTATATCGGATTTATGCAATGGATTTCCTTGTGTTTGCAATAAGACATTGTATTATCTAACTTAAAAGAAGGAAATAGGGGATTCCCCGGGAGGGTCTGAAGGTCTGGAGGAGCTAAAGAAGAGGAGTTTTTGGAATAAGAATAAAATTAAAAAAAAAAAAAAGAAATATAACATGAAAGGTAAAAATACTAAAGGGAGTGGGCTTAAGTATTCCCAAACTGGTACGATTAAGAAGTATATGCCACAAGGGAAATTTGACCCCAGAAAGATCTCAGGGAGCATGTGAAAAAAGTGAATTGAAAATAAGTTTGGATAATAGTCTGAGACTTTCCTTGGGACCGGTATATAACAGCCAACAATTAACGGAAGGTATAGAGTCGAGAGAAATTGAAAGAGATCTGCCAATACCAATAAAAAGGAAATGGCGGAGATGTTTAAAAATTTGGAACTATCAATAAAGCAAGAGATGGGGACAATTCGGGAAGAATTGGAGCAATTACTAACCAGGGTGGAGGAAACGGAGGAAAAAGTTTATGTTCATGCCCAAATTATCCCAAAATTAGAGAGATGGATAATAGATAACAGAAAAGAACAAAAAAAACCTGCTTTTTATGATGGAAGAACAAGAAAACAGAGAAAGGAGGGGGAGGGTAGGGAGGGTAATACTCTGCAAAAGGGGAGGAGAGAGAGAGAGGAAGGGTGGAGGATAGAGAGAGCTAAGAGGAGTGGGGTAACATGGAAGAAGTTCAGTACGTAACTTATAATGTAAAGGGGCTAAGTTGTCCTGGGAAGAGATTTAGATTATTTAAGGAGTTACAACACAGAACATCCTCAGTAGTTTTTTTGCAGGAAACACATTTAGAGATGGAATCGAAGGTTAGGCTGAGGACCAGACATTTCCCGGTATGGTATTATGCGGTTTGAGGAGGAGAAGAGAATAACAGACCCAGAGGGAAGGTTTCTGTTTCTGAGGGGTAAATTGCAGGAAATTGAATGTACATTGGTTAGTATATATTGCCCAAATAAGAAACCAGAGATATTCCTGAGGGGAGTATTGAGTAGGCTGGTGGACTTCAAAAGGGGTCGCCTGATAGTAGCTGGGGACTTTAATATCTGCATGGGCTCACGGATGGATACTACTTCTTGTGTGAGGAGGGAGGAGAGTAAGTCCTTGAGATTATTAAAGAAATCATTGAATAAATATCAATTAGTGGATATATGGAGAATTAGGCATATGAAGGATAGAGATTATACTTTTTTTTCACAAGTTCATGAGACTTACTCTAGATTGGACTATATATTGGTAGATCATCAATTTATAGATTCGGTGGTAGAAGTAAAAATTGGAGGAAGCTCCATTTCAGATCACGCCCCTGTTGCAATGAAGTCAAGATGGAGTAGAGAGGAAAGAGGAGGATTTGTTTGGCGGATGAATGAGGCACTTCTTCAGGATGAGGAGATCGATCGAAAGATTGAGATAGAAATTAAAAGATTTTTCGAAAGAGAATGAGACAGAGGAAATATCGGTCGCAACAGTGTGGGAAGCCCATAAGGCTTACATTAGAGGACTATTCATTGCAATAGGGGCAAAAAAGAAAAAGAGAAAGGAGGGAAAAGATTAATAGACTATTAAATGATATATTCGATCTGGAACAGGCTCATAAAAGGACTACATCTAAAGAGATAACGCAGAGAATAATAAAGAAGAAAGAAGAATTAGAAAAGGTAATTGAGGAAGAAAAAAGAAGAGTTTTCAACAAAGTAATAAGTGAAAGGTATAGATGGGGAGATAGGCCGAGAAAATACTTAATGAGGGCCTTGAGGAAAAAGAAGAATAGGAATTATATAGAAAAAATAAGAAACTCCAAAGGTGAAATGGTGCATTCAACTAAAGATATCTCTAGAGTATTTAAGGATTATCATAGTGAACTATACAACATCATACCCCAGGATACTCTTAATAGTGCTGAAACAGTAAATAAAGAAAAAAGAAGAACTTTTTTAAAAAATGCAGGTTTAGCAAAATTAAGTGAAACCCAATTGAACTCCCTAGAATCAGAAATTATGTCAGAAGAAATAGAAATAGCATTAAAAAACACAGAGGTGGGGAAAAGCCCGGGTCCAGACGGGTATACCGTAAAATACTATAAAAAATATAAAGAGCTACTAATACCCAAACTGAAGATATATATGAATGCTTTGGGAGGAGAGATTGAAATAAGGGGAGAGTCCTTACAGGCTAACATAGTTTTAATTCATAAGGAAGATAAAGACCCCTCTCAATGTGCAAGTTATAGACCAATTGCGCTGTTGAATGTAGACACCAAACTTTATGCAAAGGTCCTGGCAAATAGACTAAAAGTCTTGATGCCAAAATGGATACACGTTGATCAGGTGGGTTTTGTCCCGGGAAGAGAGGGTAGAGACAACGGATTGAGATCACTGTTGCTCATTCAGGAAGGGAAGAAAGGGAAAACCCCAGTACTATTACTGTCAATAGACGTTGAGAAAGCATTTGATAGAGTGAGTTGGAGATTTATGATGGACACCCTGGAGGAGATAGGATTGGGAGATAGAATGAGGAAGTGGATTGGTAACCTATATAGAGGGCCTACTGCCACTGTTATGGTTAATGGAGGAAGATCAGAGACTTTTAGGATGTCAAATGGAACAAGACAGGGATGTCCTCTATCTCCACTGCTGTATGTCTTATCGTTGGAACCACTGCTGTCTATGATAAGAAAGAACATAAATATAAAAGGAATAAAGGTAGGAGACAGAGAACACAAAGTAGCGGCCTATGCGGATGATTCAATGTTCTATGTTGAAACCCTCGTATATCACTCCCAAATTTAATAAAAATGCTGAAGGAATATGGGGAATTATCAAACTTAAAAATTAATCCAACAAAAACTTAAATCTTAAATATAAATCTTAAAAATAGTGAAAAAGAAAAAATACAAGAAGAATTCCCTTTTGTTTGGAGAGAGAAAGAATTAAAGTACCTTGGGATAAAATTGTCTGTTTCAATTAAAAATATGTATAAAATTAACTATATTTCACTTTTAAATGAGATCCAGAAGGAATTGAAGAGGTTGGGGAGTGGAAATCCGTCTTGGATGGGTCGTATAAACTTAATAAAAATGATAATTATGCCCAAAGTTTTATATAAATTTCAAATGATCCCAATTAAACTTCCAGAGGTTTTCTTTAAAACACTTAGAAAAATAATGTTGAGATATATATGGAGGAATAAAAAACCTAGAATACGTTATGAAATGTTGACTAGAACTAAAGAGAGAGGTGGTTTAGGACTCCCAGATTTTAAGAGATATTATAGAGTGGTGATAATTGCGAGAATTTATGACTGGACTCATAACCCAGGGAAAAGCTGGGTTAAAATCGAAAACACACTGAGTAGGACAAATTTAAGTAGGATTATATGGTTACCAGCACAATATAGAGGATTAGATGTTAATACAAGTGTGTACACTTTTATTGTTTTAAAAGCTTGGGAAATGTTACACAGACAAAAGGGATGGGTTTTTAACTCACAGTTAATGCCACTAAGAAATACAGACTATTTTGTTCCCGAAAACCTCACCGGAGGTTTTTTTGCTCCCAAAACCGGTGAGAACTAGAAAGGAGTGGAATTTACTTGGAAGATTACTAGAAACACGGGGAGATGGGAGACACGGTGTTGCAAAAATATATGGAATATTAACGGAATTAGACACGGGCACAAAATTAATTTATGTAGAGAAATGGGAAAAAGACATGGGAAGGGAAATAGATGAGGAGCAGCAGAGGAAAATGTTTAGATTAATACACGAAAATTTTAGCATGCGGGAAGTAGAGTTGAACTACAAGTGTTTAGTTAGATGGCACATTACACCGAATGTGGAACACAAATTGAATGGGGAGATTTCACCGCTGTGTTGGAGAGGGTGTGGAGAAGTGGGTACAACATATCACATGTGGTGGGAGTGTTCAAAGATACAGGTGTTTTGGAATAAAATGATTTATTTAGTAAGAAAAATTACTGAGATCGACATTAGATTAGATCCAGAGTTATGTCTTCTCCATATCACCGAGCTTTCAGTGAGGTCATACAAGGATTCAGGGATTTGGCATTTGCTAAGCACAGCGAAGAGTTTGATACCTAGGTTCTGGAAACAAAGGGAGGTGCCGACAGAGGAGGATTGGATGGTCAGAATGAATCAGATTTGTGGGTTGGAAAGATTGTATTATACGCATATAGATAAAATGGAAAAGTATCATATAAAGTGGAAAAAATGGGAAGAGTATAGAGAAAAAGTGAAATATATGATGATGATTTATACCCCTTGAAACAAATATGGACTGTAGAAATGTTTTTTTTGGTTAGAAGAGAAATGCAGAGTGGGATGGGGATTTCCGAGGGTGGGGGTCGGGAGGGGAAGGGATAGGGGTGGTTGAAGATGTGGAAATAGATAAACTATGTCAGTAGGAAGATATTAATTTTATGTCTTTCTTTTTTTTTTTTTTCCTTTTGTCAAAGGAGAAAGTGATTGTGATTTTTACTTGGTTGAAAAATTTATAAATATTTATAAAAAAAAAAAAAGTATATTTTTGCCCTCCCCAGCCACCTACTTATCCCACCTACCTACCCCCCAGAGGAATGACTACATAAAGATTCAGGCTGTGGGTCTGCCTCTTCCAGCCCACTACATTCTAGAATCCACTAAAAGGTGGGGGGGAAGCAGTTGAGTCTGCAGCCAGTGAAGCCTAGAACAGCCCAAAATAAACACACACATCCCCACTGATTGCAGCCCAAAAAAAACCATAGCTTTACCTTACCTTTCTACCAACCTATATAGGAGGGTGCTACACTACCATGCAATGTGGGTGAACAAAGGCAGACTTGTTTGAAAACTAACCTGTGTGAAAACCACTGCTCCCTCTATAGATACTGTAACAGTGGAAATATCAGTGAAGCCATGAAGGGACAGAAAGTGTGTTAGTTACAGGATTACCAGGTGAAAATACAGGTTAAATACTCTGAAAAGCTAATGCAGCCACCAGGAGACTCAGTTTAGATTTGCTTTAAAACTTAACATGTGTATAATTCACATGCCTTTCCTTAGCTAGTAAAAGCATACTGTAATCATGTTTTAAAAGTAGAAGTCCAGTTTACACCATCCGCCCCTTCCCTCCACTTTGCCTAATCAAAGAAAATCTTGTCTTCATTGAATAAATTACAACGTGTTCTCTGAATGGTGTGAATGCCGAGAAAATTACTCCTTGTGTTCCTTGCGCAGAAGGGAATCTGCTCAAGCAAGACCATGAACTAGCTACTACAATGCTTTCAGCATACCCAGTGGCTCTCCAAATATAAGTTATAGATCATTACATCATGCCAAGCTGGACCAATGTACGTTTATGATAAAGATAATTCCTGAAGTTCTGCTATAATTATGTTTATGTGAATTTATTGTGATTATGTACATTTCCAGATTTATAAATATGAATTTTATTGCGTAGACTTTTGTTTTATTGCATTTTAATGTTTTGGTATACCTAAATAGTTAAATAACCATGGGTGCTACACTATTTCTTAATGTAACACATGTTTTAGTACAGTATGCTGCACATTATTGCTGGTGCAGTTCAAAGTGTAAACTGTAATATTAAGAAAGTATGCAATACACCTAATCAAATACTTCTTGGACCATTGTTTACTTGTGTTGTACATAAATGCAATTCTGAATATTTTTTGTCTCATAGTTTTGTAGGGATTGCATTTTCTGGTAATATGCATGTTGTTTGGGTGTCCTGGCATATGGACATATTGTCTATAGCATGTAGGCTTGGAGGTTCAGGCACTCTTCAACCACTTATTCTTATACCATATACTATACAATAGTTATACTTTGAAAACCCTAAAATTCTTAGATGCACTGGTTTGGTGTCTATGGTGTCTGCTATCTATTTTCCAATTCCTTTGCAAAGAGGAATATTTTAGCTACAGTATTTTTGTCATTTTAAATAAGATAAGATATAATTTGCTCTTTTTTAACAAAATGGTTAACGTTTGTTTCTCGTTAGATTCTATGTACTGTATTATTGATTTCAAATTTTTCAACAAAACCAACTTGTACTTTTTATTAGTATACTTTATTTTTATTTGATGCACTGATTATCACAACAGCAATGCTGTTTTCAAAACATTTCTTGGACTCTCCTGAAAGAACCAACTCTAGGAGTAACTGCTCCCCACTCAGTGTATCTCCTGTATTCTCCAGGTCTCAGGTAGTACTGGCGTCCTCTGTAGTTGGGTTGCTCATAGAAGATCCAGTGGCCTTCAAGGACATTACAGGAGTGAATATCATGGTAGTTGAATTCTTCATGGACTTGAGGACAATCTTCAGTGAACTCCATCATCTGACCTCTGAATTCTTCCCTTTCATAAATCCTCAGCCTAAATGATCCACGGTGCTGATGGAGGAACATGCATTGTAAGTCAAATATGTTTAAAATTTTTTTTATTTTATATTAACTGAAGGTCTGCACACATACTTCGTTGTCTTGTTTCTATAGATTTGGCATAGTAGGGTAGATTTACAAAGAGACAGCAAGTTAACTAGCATTTTCAGAATTAGATTAATTTTCCCTTAGAACAGGTAACCTTTAATATATAATAGAAATATATACCTGAGGGATGATGCGACAAGACCTAATGGAGTCATTAAATCCCATCCACTGTTGAAAATCTGGATACTCTCCTCTCCTCAGGAAATATTGGTGCCCGGTGTAGTTGGGGTGCTCATACAGCATCCAGTTTCCATTTTCCACACGGATGGAGTTGCAACGGCTGAAGTAAGAGTGGAGGTCAGAACAATCAGAGCTGCACTCATAAGAGCGGCCCTGGAAGTTCCTGTCCTCATAAAAGATGATCTGAAATTTCAACAAAGCAAATATTTACCGTGAATTACTGTTAGAGAGCATTACATATTGCCTTTTGCATTAAAATTCTATGATATTAAACCATTCTGCAATAATTATTACATAGTCAGCACTAAACAAAACTTTCTGTTGTTTCTACTCTTTGCTGATCTGTAAATATATCATATTCGCAATTTTGCCTCAGTTATTGAAAGAGGGATGTTAATGTGAAAAATAATATGAAAACCACATTCACACATCCAAATGACCATAGTGCCATAAGTACCATCTTTCAATCAATTTTGCATAGTTACATAGTTATTCTGGCTCAAAAAAGACAAAAGTCCATCTAGTTCAACCATTAAAAAAAAAAGACATACAGCCATTATATTTCATCTGAAAAATTCTGCAAGAAAGAAGACAAATCCTCCTCAGTCTGACTGCTGAAAAATGGCAGGATCACCTTACTAGAAATTTTTAGACAGCCAAAAAAAGCCACATTAGTACCATTCTAATTTACAAATTGCTGTTCCTAAAAATGATACCAACCTATCACTAGGGACAATTTAGTATTGTCAAAATCCAACATCAGACAAGGTGTTATGTTAGTTAAGAGATAACATTTTAAGTTTTTATTTCTGTATGTGGCCCTTACTTGGGAGGTTTTCTGTCACATTCTTTGCACAAAACAGTACAAGAAATGAAGGGAGCAGGTGTCATTTGGAAAAGAAGGCACAGACAACAATAAAAACATTGTCAGAAATTCTAACCCTTCCGTACTATAGTAAAAATGTATTGATTTTTTTTAGTTTATTTAGTGAATTCTTTCTTTTTTAACTGTGGTCAAATAATTGTTGGAAACAACTTATCTATAGCTTGATTTGCTTACCCCATATATTTAGTCTAATTCTACATGACCTATAGCATGTATATTTGACTATTATTAATACATTAATTGTGCCGACCAGATTTGGTTGTATGTAGCTGAAAAACTACAAAATAATAGCACACATACCTAGCGTAATTATTTGGTAATTAAAAAATAACTAAATCTTTTACCTTTCCCATTTTGCCTGGGGTGTCTCTGGTGAGGCGTCAGTACAGAGGAATGACAAACACAGCTGTTCTTATATAGGATATCCATTGCTGGATCTGCATTACTAACACAATAGAGATCTCGCTCAGGACAAAGAATGTATAGTATTTCTCTTTTCATTCTACAGTATGTTGAAGCCGAGAATGTTCAGTCTTTTTACACCTCCCTCATCAGCTTTTGATCATCATGAGTTCACATTTATTTGCTAGTGTCAGTAAATAATTAGCACAAGCTAGGTGAACACGTCAATATATTTGTTCTTTTCAAATTAGGAAATAACACTAGTGTAACTTAAAAATATATTACTTTTAACATCTTATTTAATACCTTTGTTGGATGCCTATTTTTATTAGATTGGATTTCTATTTTCATAGATTGTAAGAGAACAGCAAATGCATAGGAAAGATATTTTTTTCTTCAAAGAAGTAATAACATTCTTATACATCAACTATTAAATTGTAACTTTTAAGATTTACTAACCCTACGGGTTATACAAAAAATGTTATTACAACTTGTATTTTTTTAATTTATTATTATTTTTTTAACTGACGTTTTGGATAGCAGGTATCTAAATAAATTTATACTGAAAACTTTTTTTTATGCTTTTGGCAGTATCTATCTATATATCTATTACGGATGAGCGAGCTGATCAATTTTCAGTAAACTGGACTTTTGCTGAGCCCAGTGGGAAATCCTCAAACCCAGAACATTGTACCGCTATTGAAGTCCATGAGAACCAAATCTTGTTTAATGCCAGTTTACAAGCTTTTGGTAAAAAAGGTTATGGGTAAATGGATACTGCCATGGTGTACATAGTTCAGCCAGGAGTAGGTCTTTTAACATGGCTTAAATGGCAACAACAAAAATACACAAATCATTTAAATAACATGCTTGGAGGATGCATTAAACCTGAACTTGAAGTGGTGCACCTGTAGGCTGTACTCCTGCAAAATTTGCATAAAAAAAAACTGCAGGTGCTAATTGACAACTCTTCCCTTACCCGAACTTGCTTGGAAACAAAGCAGCTGGAGGATCCAGGGTGACATCATGCCTGGTTGTGGAGGTTTGTGGAGGGGACTTATTAGTATTTGGAAGCACCCTTTACAATAAGCACTCTACGAGAATGAGTGTGGTCCACATAGTACTTCTTGTTACTCATTTCCAAAAAATGTAAAAAGTGAGTAAACACAAACACCATTATAAGGGTCCTTAATTTAAAAAAAAAAGCCCCCTGATGTAAATCTAATGTCAATTGTGCTGTCCAGCACTGTAAATCTGTTGTCAATCAAGATAAATAATGCCCCGATGACAAGATGTCCCATGCCAAGTTCCATGCTCAGACCATGACAATTCTATCCCACTGTCAACAAACCAACCAGGAATGTTGGCTGACGTCATTGCCTACAAAAGGTTAATATCATATGTGATCATTGTTGTCATGGGGATGCCCTCTGGCTTGTTTACAATTTCAAGGTAGGAATTTCAGTATCTGGTTCCATTTAAGGGCTCCCTATGCTAGTTGTAAGTGAATGGTTTAAACTTTAGATGTGCCCTATATGACTCTCACTGACAAGCTAGCAGATTCTGATCCATAGTTATCAATAGTTAGAAGTCTATTAGCTGCTCAATAGAAATGCCCACACACTGACCTATTTGCTGTACAGTATCTTCAAAAAGTATTTTCCTCATAGACAAGATTTTTTTCTGAAGCTGCAGCAAGCACTACAAAGCATACAGCAGCACACTTGTACATAAACGGAAATTTAGCATATTGCAGACTTTTGCAACAGTCAGGAATATATTTACTCTACAGTAAAGGCTAAAGGAGGTTGGTGATCTAAATAACTTGGAAAGTGTCAGGTATTTGTGAGCTGTCAGGACAATGGTACCAACTACTGTACTTTAAAAACCTCAACAGAAAGGAGAATGCATCAACAAATCGTTGTTATTTACACAAGAGATGGAAACAACCAGGAAAACTGTAAGTGGCTGTGGTTAAATTACACTAAAGATTGGGCGCGGCTTAATAGTGTCTGAGCGTGCTTGTATGCCACACACGTATGCCACATTCCTTGCACTCACTAAACCCTCCTTGAGCACTTGAGTCCCCAGTGCATTTTTAATACAGTGTCTGGTTTCAGTTTTCTGCTGGTCCCAGCTGTTGTAATGGATCTGCTGGTTGACTTTGCAGCTGGGACCTAGTGCTAAGCCCCAGAACAGCAACAATGGGCTTCCAATCATGCACCACAACACTCAAGGAATGCTTGTAGGAGACTGCTGTGAACACAATGCTTGCTCTTCAAGAAGGATCCTGTAAAAGAAGTTCAGTACATGTTGGAATGAGAAGGCTGGCACATACGCATACTTATGTGCATGCTCATAATTCTGAGCAAAGGCTCAATGCAATACAGGCATTGTCACACATGCGCAAATGTATTAGCATGTGCAGAAAACATATGTGGATATGCAAGTGCAAGGCACTGGTGTCAAATGGCCTATTTAAGCTGTACTATGACATCGATGGATTGCTGAGCAGTCTCCAGCTAGTTCCTGCTTTACTTGAGCCTTGACCTGCTTATCTGTGCACAACTTGGCTTGACCTGTCCTTGGATTTCTGCCTGCTGTGACCTCAGCTTGTATTTTGACTCTGCTCCTGGCTTGTGCTCCTGTACATCACTGCCAAGTTGTGTACTGACCCTTACACTTCCTGTCATTGTGTTGAACAAGAGAAACACCCTCTCCAGCTCAATCTCCACCAGGTACATGACAAAGATCCTCTGAGTACAGAAACTGGGACAGAGCTACCTCAGAAGTTGCAGACAGCAAATAAAATATATCATTATTAGATGATAGAACCATGGTGGGGGGGGAGGTGCTTGATCTGTTCTCCAAAAAAGTGTAAAGGAAACAATAAATACATAATACACACTATATATATATATATATATATATATATATATAAGCATTTGCAAACTTCAAGTGGGCTGTCATGAGTTTTGCACTGAGGAGAGGCTTCTATCTAGCCATGGTGGAGGGGTGCAGTGATGTTTGTCCTTCTGGAAATTTGTTTAATCTCCACACAGGATCCCCGAAGCTCAGTCCAAAGTGACCATCGGTTTGTTGGTCACCTCTCTTACTAAGGCCCATCTCCCCAAATTACTCAGTTTGGCTGGTGACCAGTTCTTGGAAGAGTTCTGGCTATGCCAAACTTCTTCTGTTTGAGAATTATAGAGGCCACTGTGCTCTTGGGAACCTTCAGTGCAACATAATTTTTTGTAGCCTTTTCCCAGATCTGTGCCTTTCAATAATGCTATCTCTGAGCTCTGCAGGCAGTTCCTTTAACTTCATGGTTTTTGGTCTGATTCTGTATGCATTGTCAGCTGTGAGGCCTTTTAAAGAGAGGTGTGTGCCTTTCCAAATCATGTCCAATCAATTTAATTTACCACAGGTGGACTCCAATCAAGGTGTAGAAACATCACATCAATGATTAAGAGAAATGGGAGGCACCTGAGCTAAATTTCAAGGATTGTTGCAAAGGGTCTAAATACTTATGCCAATATGATATTTCAGTTTTTTGTTGTTAATAAATTCAAAGACATCTCTAAAATTCTGTTTTCACTTTGCCATTATGGGGCACTGAGTGTAGATTAATGAGAAAAAAATGAATTTTAAACAACTGTAGTATCAGGCTGCAACATAACTAATTCTAAAAAAGTGAAGGGGGTATGATATATACATATACTGTATATATATATATATATATATATATTTATATATCCTAAAAATAAATACAAATATTCCCTACCTAGATTAATCCCCACCCAAGGTCCCAAAAATGATGTTGGGTAATCTTGATGACATTTACATTTACTGAGCTAGCATCTGCATCAGTGGGAAGAAGAATCTCCCTTTCCACATC